TAAAAGAATTGTAATTTCAAAAAAAGATAAAGTAAAATATAGTTCATTCATAATATTACTAGATTTGTGTAAAATTTCTTACAAGCCCAATAAGCAACTCGGAGAGACAATTAAAAAGGAAATTTTTTTAAATAATAATATTTTAATATTTAATGGATCCTCATAGCAGAATTTTTAATATTTATTAAAGATGACAATATTTTAATTTGTTATATTGTTAATTTATGTATTCTTGTTATTTGTTTAATTTGAAAAAAATACAATTAGTGAATAACATAAGGAAGAAAATCAAGGAAAATAATATTTCAAATAAGGTAATTTTTAAATTTAAACCAACAAAGTTATCATAATTAATAATCATAATTTTGTATAACTTTAAGTCGATCTAGATTTTTTTTCACTACACTCATGCTCTTTTCATCTTTTATTTTTGAGATTAAAATTTACAAAATTCATTTCCTATTATATGTGTTTGGTTCCACAATTGATATGATTTCTGTCTCCCTTAAACCTAAAATTTTAGATATTAATTTTTAACTCTCCATTGAAAATAATCAATCTATGTCGAGTTGAAGTCTATTGATTTAAGATTTTTGCTGGCAGATTTTAGAATGAATATAGAATAAAAAATACAAATTTATTGGCATACAAATTGAGATTGAAATACAAAGTGATCACAAAAAATTGAAAACTTGTTAGCATATTTTAGAATTGGCTTAAGACATCAACATACACTTAAAGTTATTCGTATTATTCATTTACATAACTCAACTGAGACTTGTATTTATTAAACACCCTCCCAAATTAGATTGATACCACTTGAATACTTTTTTGCCTAGCTGGCACTTTGAATGTGAGTCACGGCTATTGAGCGCGTGAAAGCATTATTTTCTTACAATTTTTTAAAATAAAAAAAGTGTTTTGTAGTCTTCACTATGCCCGTTGCTCCTCAACGGCTATGTGATTTATTTTACAGCTAATTGTATTCATATTTGTTAACTTCAACATGATATTTCATTATATAATTTCCTTTTATATCATTGCATCATTAATTTATTTCCCATTTAAGTTAATCTTTGAATCTTATTCAAGTCAACGTCTATTTAATGTTGATGCATATAAATAAATTCAAGTTTACTTTAGATTTGAAATTACTTTAATTTGTAATTTATGTCATTTCTAATTAAAATTAAATATTTTTATTGTCTATTTGATAATTAATTTATGCAAAATATTAAGATATTTCCTATTATAGATCACTTTCTGATTTATTTTTGTTAATATATTGTTTGTTTATTATACAAAAACTTTTTTTAAAAAACAAAATGGAGTCATTTTGTCTTTTTAAAATCATTTTCATATTTTCTAACTTTAACTTATTCAGTAATGTATTAAAATATTTGATTAAAAATTATATTTTAATGTGGTGAATATACAAAATATATTTACAGAATTTCCTTATTTTCTCTATGATGAAAATATTATTTTTATTTATGTTATTTCACTAAAAAAATCAATTAATATATCATTTAATAAGAAATTGTGTATATAAATAGGTGCAATGTCATCTTTTTATAAGCATCATTTGTTGAAAAACGTTTCATTTAGGCATGGAGAGAAAAAAAACTAAAGGACGTCAAAAGATACCAATGAAAAAAATTGAAAATAAGGATTCGATGTTTGCTTCATTTACAAAGCGTCGTGAGGGTTTGTATAAAAAATCTAGCAAACTCGCTACAGAATACAATGTTGACATTGGAATAATGATGATTTCTGCTACTGGTAAGCCTCATTCCTTTTTTCACCCAACATTTGATGCAGTTATTTCTCGTTTTCAGAATCATGATATGCAGTTTGGTGAAAGGACAAATCTAGAGGCAAATGATGCTAGAAATGAAGTGAATCAACTCAAAACTAGGCTTGAAGAACTTGATGTCAGAGAAGACATTGCGATTGCTAAGAAAAATTCTTATGAACAAATGGAAGAAACAAGACAAAAAGGTTGGTGGGAGTCGACTGAGCAGCTCAATGCAGATGAAGTGTTCATATTTGAAACTTGGTTGAATGAAACTAGTTCTAACTTACACCATCGTTTAAATCAATTAGAAATTGAAGCTTCATCCTCAATGAGACATGAATCTTTTGGAGTGTGAAATTTGAAATGTTCAAATTGCAAATGATTCACCCTAAATTATCACTTATGGATATATTTGGGAAGACTCTAGTAACTCTAAATCTATATTAATAATGTTGTGTTTTTTAAAATTTATTTCAATAATGCTACAAACATGTATCTGATATGTTTTTCATTAATAATATATTGATATGGTTAGTGTGGATTATTATTTATGAGAAAAAAATTTCATGTGTTGTTTAGAAATAATATATATATCGATAGAATTTATCTAACTGCATAAAATTGACATTAAATTTCAATTAAACATCTCAACTAAAATTTATTTATTTTAAGCACAACAAATAAGACTTGACAATGTCATTTCAACATGTTTTATTAAGTCGGCACATTTCAACATGTTTTACTAAATCGGCACATTTCAACACGTTTTACTAGGAATGACAATGGGGCAAGGCGAATGTAGAGCAGAGTGGGTGGGATGCGGTGCAAATTGATGTGGGCAATATATAAACTAATGCAGAATGGGGAAGATTGTGGAGACATATGATTTTATGATGGCTCAAATTTAAGTTTAATTGTTTACCTATTATAAGAGTGATACAACATTATTTATTAAGATAATTTTTATAAAGCTACTAAAATATTCAAGATAGTAAATCAAAATGGTTCAATAAAGAATATACAATTTCTTATATATTTTCTAGTGATCTCTAAAAATAAATTTATTTTCATTAATTTTATTTTAGAATCAAACTTATCTAGAAAAATAAAATATTTAAAAATTTATGCGGTACGGTTAGGAGTAGGGTGGGACGGATTGAAAATGAAAAAAATTGTTATGTGGGACATGGATATTAAAAAATATGTGGGTTAAGTTCAAAGAATATTTTTCCGATTAATAATAGAAATAAAATAAGGAGGGCCATAAAAGAATATTTATTTTTCTTCTTTACTTCAAAACAATTCTGTCTTTTCTTGAGTCCAGAACCTAAATAAGTCACAAAGAAATAAAAGTGACTAAAATAAGTCACTATTTTAAGAAGTAAATAAAATAGGCTTAGTGGAAGAAAAAATTCCACTTTATTCCATATTCTAAATGTTTTCCGTTAGTCCCATAATGTATATAGTTTAATATATAACGAAATTATTTATTACACTTTATAAAGTATAAGTTTTTCTTACACTTTAAAGTGGAAGAAAATTTTACACTTTATAAATTGGAAGAAAAAAATATGTTTTACAAAGAGAAATATATATTTAACAAAGCTTTTGACAGATAAAAGAGAATATTGTTGACAAGTTTTAGGCTCCTTTCCAACATAAATTTCAAGTGTTATTAACTTGATTTGATTTATGTAGTCATTTGAAACCCTCAAAAAGTATGTCAACAATTCATCATTCTAAATAATCTACTCTCCATAATGTACTTGTCCTTGTGATAAAAATGTAATAGAAAATTTTTCGACTATAATCAAATTATAGTCAATACTATTTATACGCACTCTTTTATAAATTGATGAAAGAAATTTATGATATCGAACATTAATTGAATATTTAGCAATGTGTTTGAGATGACAGTTATAATAAATAGTATTTTCACCATCCCATTAAATCAAAAACTCTAACTTTGGGGGTAAAAGTTACTTTTTTGTGATTGAAATGAAGAAAATAGAAAACTAAAGATGTTGAAGGTGCTATGTTTGAATGTCCTTAAATAGAGTTTAGAGGAGTTTTTTGAATAAAACATAAAAACACATAATGTAATATTTTTTTTCTTTTTTTATGATATGTCAAATCAATATAATTGTATGACAAACACGGCAGAAGGTTCATGAAGCTTCAAAACGTGAAACATAATTTTTTCTTACACTTTGCAAAATATAATAAATAGTTTCGTAATATATTAAAATATACACGTTATGAGACTAACGAAAAACGTCTAGAATATTATATAAAGTGGAGTTTTATCTTTCATTAAGTCTAATTTAGTTACTTCCCAAAATAATGACTTATTTTGATCACTTTTATCTTTTTGTGATTCCGAACTCTCTTTTCTCTCGACTGTTGTTCTCTTTATTTTTTTTTAACTCGTATTCTCTTTTTTCTCCCTCATCTCAGTAGTGATTACTATACAAAAGTTCTCCTTCTAATTTTATACCAACAAAACCGTAAAAAATTATATGGAACCAAAAAAAAAGGGCACAATTTTTTAATTTTATGCGAAAAGAACTGCATAACATTCTATTAGCAGTGGAGAGATGTTCTTATACTGAAAATATGTATGTTATATCTTCTATGATTTATTTATTTATTTATGAAAATAATTAATTTTTTTGAGTCGAAATTTAAATTGTTGTTATTAAAAACTTTCTTTTAATATTTTTACTAATTTTTTTACTCTATATTTTTTTTGTGTGTCTTGTATGATCCAAATCAAATGAACAACAACACTATTTATACTAGAAGAAATAGCAACGAATAGGAAGATAAATATTGTAGTAAATCAAAAAATTAATTGCCTTAAGAATTTACATAGGTTACGAGGTATAACGGATGATAATGGAAATTGAATAAAAAGAAATTAGTGGTCATGCATAGTTGACCACCTTCTGCCACTAACAGTAACTTCCAATGGATCAACATTTTGTAACCATAAATTAAAGGTAAGGGCATTGATTCACAAGTGAGTAATTAGGCAGTAATGCCATAGATTGCAGCAATCAAAATGGATACTAGTCCTCCAGTGGCAACAATTGTAATGTCATAACTCCCATTTACTCTAACGAATATTTACTATGACAATTTTAATAATAAACAAATATTAAAATGCTCAAAAAATCAACAAAAATATATAAGATAGGAGTCTGGCCAAATCCCCATACTATATAAAAAATGGCTTCCTTTGACAAATGGTTCACAACTAAAGATGCAAATATATAAAGGTTCTAATTAAGCTATCACAAATTAATATTAAAAATCTGTGTAAATTAAGGTTTTTATATATTTATTTCAAGTCAATTCATCTAACTAAGCGTTCACTTGTTTGTTAAAGATCCAACTAAACTTGACTTGACGTGGCTCTATTTTCTTGACTCTATTTTCCAACTTCCTAACCCTGAGTGGAAGTCGACACACATAATCCTGTGCACGCCTTGCCTCGCCACTCAACCCTTGAAGTTTTTCCAATTCCCATCGTGTTATAAAAAATTCTAATATTTCAGCATAATGACGAGATGTGTAGATTCCTTGCCTTTCAATAATGGAAGAGAAGTGCTCAAATATATTTGGATCTTGCCCATCATACATGAGATGCATCGGCATTACGATCTTCATCTTCATCATGTGTGCAATAGCTAGCATAGTCGCATTTGGATCCACTTCTAACAACTTGTCAACGATTCTTGTGTAGGCATGTTCGTGACGCTTCTCATCCGCGGCAATGGCTCCACACATACGTGCTAGCATGGGGTCTCCTCCTTGTGTAGCTAGCCTAGCCATATTTCCATGTGACGAACACGTGGCTCGCTCTTGAAATGACGTGTACACAAATCCCAAATACGGATTGTTCTCTAGTCTGATGTCCTAAACAAAAGAATACGTTGCATGCAACCGTTGATTACATAATTGAATATTTTGGAAAAACAAAAAAGGGAGATGAATATATCATGACTAAAAAAACCACATAATTCACAATTATATATATAAAGAGAAATTCAGAAGCCTTACTACTCCAGCTCCAATCAAGTATTGTAGTGTCTTGTCAACCATCAACATGTCCACTCTCCCTGAAAGATAAAGATAGGTCCTTAGCAAATCGCCATGTCGATTCTCCTCTGCTGTCCATGCCCGTGTCCATATTGCCCATGGACACGGGCTTGATCCAGTCTCATCGCGTACTCCATCTAACGTATTAATCATGGTTTGATAAGTAGGCAAAGCATCCTCAGTTAGCATATTACCCACAAGCATGACAAAGTACTCATCTGAAAGCCCTAAAACTCGTTGCCTTAGGGCCCGAACCTCTTCCTCGAATTGTTCGGGCCCTTGAGATGGGTCAGGGAGAAACTCAATGGGCTGCCAACATTTCTCTACGGGCTTGAGGAAGGGGAGGATGTTTTCGGAAACCCAAGGTTCTAATGACCTGAAGATTTCCAATTTCTCTGGTGGCATTGAGTGAGTAACCTGGTGGCGTGATGGAGAAGTTATGGTGGGTGAAGCCACCGCGAGGACCGGAGATAACCTCCGTGATGAGGTGGTTTTGCGACAGAGTATCGATGGAAGGTTGAATTGGGAGAAATTTGTAGTCTGCATGACTAAAAGAAAATTAAATAAAAAGGGTTATTAGATGAGTGACAAATATTGCTTTCAAGGATATCCTATTTATATGGATGGATATATAGTTTGTTGATTATTTTAATCGAAAGTTTAGTTTATAAGGTTTTTCAATTTTTTGTTTTTTTGCTTTGTTATTCTTTTATTTTTTTATGTTTTAAAAGTGAAGTATCAAAAGCACACTTAAATTATTTCCTATTTTTAATTTGAGAAAATTAAAAAAATCTCTTGAACTTGGCAGCACAATTTATTTTAGCATTTAAACGCGTTTTAATACCCTCTTTAACATTTTTAAAATGATCTTTTTTAAGCCTAATATCATAATACCGCAAGTGTATTACACACGCGTCATATTATTGCCACATCAATGTCATGTCAGCGTCACATTGAAAATTATTTAAATTTTGAGTATTTTAATTCTGTTTGTTTATTTTTGTTTATACAATTTTAGAAAGGAATAGAAAAAATGAGAACTAATCCAAGATTATAAAAATAAAATCAAACTCTAACGAATTCAAGACTAGGAAACATTCAATTTAAAACACATAGTCAAAATAAATAAACAGTGCAAATTAAATAACTAATTTGAGATAAAGAAATTGTAAATTTTTTATCAAAAAATGCTTCAAGTTCATCATAATCAACAAACTCTTCCATAAGTAAGATCTTGAAGCAACAATAAGTTGTAAGTTTTTTCATTTTTTCAGATTCATCACTTCTAAGGATAAGCAAGAATAATTTGAAATGAAGGAATAGGTGAAGGTGTTTCGAAGAAAAAGAAGAAAGAAGGTGGCAGAGAGGGAAACTTGAAGAAAGGGGTGAGCCAAGTTTGGTGGTGGCGGGGTTCGAAATAGGAGAAAGAGGGGTGCGGGTGGGGGTTCGAAGAATGAAAGGCTGGGGTTGTTGGTGGATAAAGGTGGTGGGTGGTGGGTGGTGGGTGGTGGGGTGTGAGTAACATAAAACCTTATTGGTTGGGGAAAACAGGGCCTATTTTTATTTTGTTTTATTTTCTTACATTTTCACTCGCTTTTTATTTTTCATTTATCACACTAGCTTTTGTGGTGGATTTTACTTCACTTGGAATGAAATTAGGAGGATAAATTATTATTTATAAAGAAAGTTAAAGTACTAACAGTAAATTTAGCGGCCAAATTCAGGGATTTTTTTATTTTCTCTTTTAAATATCATAATTAAACTATGAGTGTGTGTTATATTGCATTTCATTGATAAAAATTAAATTAACTATTAATATTTATTAAAATTTAAAAATATTAAAAATATTTTTTTTTACTCTACTCCACCACTTCTTCCCCCTCTAGTACCTCCGACACTCCCTCCCCCCTCCAATTTTCAGAAAATCTTACTTCAACCCTTCAATAATTTAAATGTAACTTTTTACGCTTCACTTTTTTTCTTTTTTATCAATATGTAAAACCATTTCTTTTTTTGGTTAAAAGGGATGGTTAATATATGTGTAAACAATACGGCACAAGTTAAGTTTGATTCGTGAGCCCCTTGTCGTAGGGTCCACCAATATTAAGTTTTGGGCCACATTTCGACGCTTTTTCGTCCGGAATTGTTTGTCATATTCCGTTTATCAAAAGTTAATACTATATTAATTAATATTATAAACAAAAAAAATATTCTAAAATTATATGAAAAACACTATAAATTACAATTTTTTGCATGTTAGTTAAAGTTTTTATAATTTGACTCTAAAAATAGAAATCATGACAAACAATACCGACGGAGGGAGTAGTAATGTTAACAAAAGAAACCTTCCTAAAATATACAGTCCCTTGGTTGTCAGACACCCATTCCTAATAGGTATACTCCACTGGGATTGTGAAAAAGCATAATATATAATTATGCCTTTTAATTTGGTTTCGAATTATATTTATGTCCTTTAATTTAGGATGTGCACAAGTAGACACTTAAATTTATATAAAGTTAAATAAATAAACACACGTGTCTTACATGTCATTTTTTGTCCTACGTGGTAACCTACGTTTATTGTGCCGTGTAGGACTCATGTGTTTATTTATTTAAAAGTTGGATAATTAAAGTGTCTGGTTGTGCATTATGAAAGTTGGAGGTCAAAGTTAAAATTTAAAGCCAAGTTTAGGGTTCAAAACTTCCCTTCGCAGTCCCTTTCACAGTTCATATAATACATAAACATGATCCGTGATTTGAAATTAACGAATAATTATGACCTTCAACTTTAAATGTGCACGAGTAGGCACTTGAATTATTATAAAATTGAATAAGTAGATACAAGTGTATTACATGACCTAATAGACCTAGGATGTCATGTAGGATACAAAATATTCATGCAGCATGTCATGTAGGGTTGTTTATGGTTATGATTAAAAAATCAAACCGATTAAAAAAAACTGATATTTGGTTTGATTTGATTAGGTTTGATTTTAATTTTGAAAATCGATAGTAGTTGGTTTTGATTTTACTAAAAAAATAACTGCAAAAATAACCAAATCGAATCGATAAATTATATATATAAATCTTACAATTATTTACATAATATTCATAAATAAAATATAAATAATTTTTAAAATTTTAACTTAAGTTTTTAACTTTACTATTTTCTCAAGTTTAAAACTTAAATTTTAGTCTATATATAACAATCATAAGTCCAAGTCCATCAAAATTAATTATTTCCATATCTTTCCTAATATAGTTACATCTTCTCTTAATTGAATAACTTTTTTCGTATAATGATAACTTTAATATTGTTTAATGCTTAATTGAACTAACAAAGTTATTCAATGGATTGCGCATGTACTAGGTGTTTGTGTCTATCAAGATACATATGTCCTCAAAAATTGTTACTTTAAAACTGAAATAACCAAAAAAACTGAATCAAAATGAACTTAACTGTCAACAACTAAATTGACGGTTATTTTTTTCGTTTGGTTTGGTTCGATTTAAGATATTTTAAAAATCGACTAGATTGGTTTGGTTTTGATTTTAATTAATAATTGATTCAAATCGAATCACGAACACCCCTATTGTCATGCCGGACGAATGTATTCATTTGCTTAATTTTATATAAATTTAAGTGTTTATTTATGCATATCCAAAATTAAAAATTATAATTGTCATTTGTCAGTTGATATCAAATTAAAGATCGTATTTATGTATTATACCTTACCGGTCTAACTGACACTCTCTATTCTCCTGAGTCGGTTGGTGTTCTGTTAGAAAAACTGTCAGCAAATATTTATTTTACAATAACATGCCCACCTATATTACATTACAATTTACAATATAGAATAAATGCCAATTAATCACCCAAACTACCATACTCAATCCTCCGCCCCAACCAAGCCCAAATATTTATTTTACAATAAGATGCCCACCTACCAATTGAAAGAACTAAAAATTACATTAGGAGGCCTATACGTGTGTCATACCAATTATAAAGAGCTATAAGTTACATAATAATTAGTAGACATGTATTTATGTCATATTTATTGATTCTTATACGAATTTTTATTTTAGATTTCAATATAGGTATTTCTAAGTACATAATTAGTAGACATGTATTTATGTCATATTTATTGATTCTTATACGAATTTTTATTTTAGATTTCAATATAAGTATATCTAAGTACATGTACTTTTTATACAAGATACTTTGAAATAGGGATAGAGACGAGCAAGAAACGATATAGTTTATGTATTCCAAACACATATGAATTACTAGATTCTCCAGAGACACTTTGAAATAGGGATACATAAGGAGATAGGAGAAAGACGAGATAGAGAGTCATATATAAATATATATGAATCAACTTTGATATTGTATATTTGAAATAAATTACACCTAATTTGATCCTATGTATATGAGATACATGTCGTAGACAGTGAAGTTTTATTGATGAATTCATATTAAATTTGGAATTAAATCTTAAATTTATGATACGTTGATTAAGTTAAATTGTTGGTTAATAAAATCGAAATATTTAAGTTAAAATTATATGACTTAATCAAAGTCCAAATTACATTAGGGACAATCCGTTAAGTTGACAAGACGAGTCATTGCTCTTCAATGATAATCAACAAATTAAGTCTTCCGCATAAGTATTCATCTCCAAATGTTGAGTTGCAAGTCATGTTTCATTAATTCAAAAACAAAGTAAGCTCTTGAGTTGACAATCATAAATCGAAAAATCATGAAATTACATCTTTTTTAATAAATTTCATAAAGATTATAACATTCACATAAATTATTGAAATATATATAGATATTATGGTTTGTTATTGTTTTCTTTTCTTGATTATAATATTTAAAGAACGAAACTTAGTCGCTTGCATACCAAAAGCTTAAACTATGATAAGTTTTTAAATATTAAAAACTTATAAAAAGAAAAATAATTTGCTTCTAGATTAATGAAATTTGTATTGTTTATCTATTTTTTTAATTATTATTTTTTACAATATACCTTTAATGCCAATTAATAACCCAAACTTTAATAGACCATCCTCCAACCCAAACCACCTTAAAGTCCAACAAGAAAATTTCTCAACGGTCAAACAAAAACCACCAACAAAGTCATAAAAGGCATAAGCTGAACCTAATAGTTGGTCTAAAAATATATGTATCTAATACAATCCAAAAGGTGTTTGCCACCTTATCTAAATCTTCACTTCTAGAAGGCTCAACCACAAGACATCAGACAGGGCGATAATGTGTAGGTCAAAGGCTGAGAGATAGGGTCATATGAGTGGATTTGATTTAAATTCGAGATATTAAATTGTGTTGAAATAGAAATTATATTGGGTCATGACGAATTATATTAATTTTTGATTCAAATGGACTAAAATAGGGTCGGATCATGATCCATTCAATTTGACTCACTTGATCTCAATAATTATAACATATTATTTATTTTTATAACTTTAATTTGAATTTCAACTCAAGACAATAAGAAAAAAGTTATAAATAGGGGATAAATTCTAATAGATATAAAATAGATTGTAATTCATACCGTTAATATGGGAACATACATTATACCTATATAAATAAAAAATATTAAAATCGAGTGAAATTGAAGATCAAATTGACTCAACTGAGAATTTTTCTAAAATAGGTTAAAACTTAAATATATTAAAATGATCCAATTCAAATTATCTCAACTCCAATCCATAAAACTTTAAACTGATTAAAAAAATAACAAATCGAAAATGTCTCTCAAGCAAGTAACGAATCTATTGAGCCTTAAGGCCCTTCATACTGAAATTTGCTAGTAACCTTATTTAGATCAGTATTTACTCTCTTCCTTCCGTATAATTAGTTGATCATCTTATTAAAATTAGTTATCTCATATTATATGTTAAGTTTACTTAAATTAAGAAAATATTAATTATTATTTTTTATATTATTCTTGTAATTAATTTTTTTTTGAAAGTG